GTTGGTTTGGAAGCAATTCCCATTCTAAGCAGCTTACCTATACCCTCTTATCCTTATTATAGCTATCTGTGTTGTTCCCATATAATAGATATAATAGCATTCTAACAGTATTAAGTGCAACCAAAGAGGATTTGTCAGCTCTGGCTGATGTCTCATTTTTGTTGTTTACTATTTTTCCCAAAGCTAGTTGCTATTTTACTTTTTGATTTCATGCATTGTTGCTCCCAGTCCACAAGGCTGGGAACAAATTTGACTCATTTTTCTTTTCATTTGCTCTTTTATTCAGCAGGCATTTGTAAGGTACATGCTGTGTGAAAGACCTTCCACTAGCCACTAGGGTTACCTTCATGAGTAAAACTAGCTATGGCCTCTGCCCTCATAGATCTTGCATCCTAGAAAGGGAGATAGCCATTAATAATAATAATTTTTTTAAATCACACAAATAAATATAAAATTGCAACTGCGATAAATGGTAGAGAACAGAAGGACATGGTACAAAAGTTTAGAAGAGGGATTTATAAAAGTTCACAAAAAAAATTGTTGAGATCATGAACCGGGTTCAAAACACTTTAAATCTTTATCTTTCTCAGTAGAAAGATTGATAATTTGGTTTATCCAATATGCTTTAAGGATACACTGTGTACATAGTCACTTTACCTTACCATGGAGGGAAAAATGGCACTGGCAAAGATCCTGTTTACTTATCTGGACCAAGTATCCCTATGACTTCTGTTACATGAGTACTGTTATCCCCATACTGTTGGGGATAACGGGCCAGTTTGAAGGGGTGCCTTTGATGGCAGTGTTCCTCAGGGCATGGCCTGTGGTTTTCCTCTACAAAGTCTTAGACCCAGAGTGAATTCCAAGTTTGGAGTTTTGGTGGTAGTGGTGGTAGTTAGTTATATTTTAAAAGCTGCTTTTGGAATTGAGTGTTACATGGTCTGATTTATAACACACAACCATAAAAAAAGATTGGGCCATAAGTGCTCATAAATATTCTCAATGGATCCTAAGTCCTCACTTAAATAAAAAGTGCTAGTTTTAGCCTATATCAGAAATCTTAAAATTTGTGTTTTGTTTTTTATAAACAAAGCCAATTATACTACCTACTTGAATTATTGTAAGTTATTTATGTCCTGCCTTTTGAAGACTTTTCAAATATTTCAAATGAGTAAGGTCAGAAGATTTGAATGTATACTCTCGTTTTAGTGGATTTTGTAAGGATATTTAAAAGTATTTTTATATGTATGCAAACTACCAAAATAATTCTGAATGTATTGTGCATAAAATAATTATTGTCATAATTGAGTCATCTGTGTTTGAAAGGGGTTTATGCCCCTTATTTTGTAGGATTATTGACATTATTTTTAACTAATTCGGCAGTCCTTGAAGATACACTTAAAATTTCTTAAATTTGTGCAAAACTAAAAACAGTTGTAATGAAGTTGTTTTTCAGTCACATAGTGGCTGCTCTCAAATGAGGTTAAAACTGTCTCTGAAGAATGTTCTCGTGCATATGCCAAGAAGCTTCTGGGATGGGCATATTTTTAAGAACTTAGAATATAAACAACTCTGATCTGTGGCAAGAGATTTAAATGACCTCATGACAACAAGAAGAACAAAGCATTTTTAAGTTATCATGGTGGTTTGTTAATTCATTACAATGTGTTTGTCATTCTCCTATTTTGGTGCATTGAGTGAAAGCCAGGCAAAAAAATTACAGACTATATTCAACTGAAGATACTATTTCTGTATTGTTGTAAACAAAGTAAGTACCAGAAAAAATACTGTTTCCTAAAAGTAAATGTTTCATCAGTTATTCTAGAGGTATAGATCTTTTTTTTTAAAACCACATGAACCACTTCTGGATAAAGGCCATTTATTTAGATATAAAGTTTTGATTCATTTTCTGTTGGATAAAATATGGGGAATGTGTTCCAAACATGAAAGATCAAACACTTGGCTTGAAATAAGAATCCCTTTCTTCACAACAGATCAATTAAGTGTTTATTAAGTACTTACTATGTGTCTGGCACTATGCTAAATATTATGGAATACAAAGGAAGGTGACTGCTTTTGGTCTAGTTGGAAGAAAAGCCCTACGCCAATGAAACTATAAAATGGAAAGATATTATATAATCAAGTACCAAATAAAATAGCACATCTCTTATGAAGTACAAGTCATGACATATCCTTTCTTTTCAGAAATGACTTCTAATTATTGTCTAGAGCAATGGAAAGATATTATATAATCAAGTACCAAATAAAATAGCACATCTCTTACGAAGTACAAGTCATGACATATCCTTTCTTTTCAGAAATGACTTCTAATTATTGTCTAGAGCAGTTGTTTTCAGTCAGGTGTGATTTTGCTCCCCACGAAGACATTTGGCAATGTCTGGAGGTGTTTTTGATTGTTACAGCTGGGGCTACAGGCATCTAGCAGATAGACCAGAGATACTGCTAAATATCTTACAATGTACAGGATAGCCCTTCACAACGAAAAATTACCTGGTTCAAAATGACAATAGTGCTGAAACTGAGAAACCCTACTGTAGAACCTATAAATGTCAATGCTGAAAAGTTTTGAAGTTGTGGGAGACAGACTCTTTCTTCCTCTAGAACTTTTCAGCCCCTGTAAATATTCTTTACCTGAGGCCCTTGGATCCTTACACAGAGATGATCATCGGGTATCCACAAACCCTCTGAGCATCGTATGTGAGTTTTTCTAGTACAGTGTTCCAGGGAGAGAGTCCATAGATTTTATCAAAACCTCAAGGTATCCATGTCTCCAAAACAGATTGAGACATCAAATGAGTGCTCTAGTCACCTGAAGGAGATGATAACACAGAATATTCCTTAGCATTTTGCTGAGGTAGACGTAGACTTTAAGATTCAAAGATCGAAATTAATCTGAAAATACTTTTTTTGGTGAAAAAAATTTCTATATCAATTTAATGCTTTGAAGTAATAAAATCTTAATGAGTGAGGATTATAGAAGAATATCAATTATTTTATTTTGTTATTCGAAATCAACTTGTTTTATCATAATTTGCTATTTTCTCCCAAGTGAAGATACCAATTTATATTGCCTAGCTGCTGTTTATTTGTTGAACCATTCAGAGATCTGGACATGGTTTTATATAGCCTACATTCCTCCTGAACACTGTTTAATAAAGTGAATTATGTTTTTCTCATAAGAAACATGTTTAAATTGAGAATTATGTTTCTGATTTGGTATCCAGTAAATCAGAGATCCTACCAGCAGTATGTTATAAATACAAATCTACATAACCTTGAGCGTACATATAATTTAATACTTTTTTAAGTCATAGAAATTGGAGATTAAGTCTTGGCCTAAAAGCCAAGGAAGGGACCTTAGAGATCATCTGTTCCAGCTGTTTCAAACAGTTCTTTGGGGCCCAAGGCCCAAAAGCACTGTTTTCTGTTGTTTTATATATTTGGACTTCTACCAAATATTTATTTGGGAAGGGGTGAAGGAGGGAAGATGCATTTGGGAAGAAGCGGTGTATACATCTGATCTAGACTAGCCTCATTTTGCAGATAAGGGCCTAAAGCCCAAATCTCCACATTTTATTCTTTGGCTACATTTCATTATTCTGTAGGTCAAACCAGCATTTTAGATGTATCTGGTAATAGTATAGAGGATGACCAGGAGTTCACATTTCAGCTGTGCAGCTTCCTAGCTGCATGTTCTTAGACAAGTTGCTAAATATTCTCAGTCTCTGTATATTCATCAGCAGAAAATAAATTATAACATCCTTAGGATTATTTTCACTTTCTTAGGATTTAGACTGTATCTTGGAAGATGATCTGGATTCTGTGCAGCTTCCTAGCTGCATGTTCTTAGACAAGTTGCTAAATATTCTCAGTCTCTGTATATTCATCAGCAGAAAATAAATTATAATATCCTTAGGATTATTTTCACTTTCTTAGGATTTAGACTGTATCTTGGAAGATGATCTGGATTAACCAAGTCTCTCTTAAGAGCATTTCAAATCATTCCATTTTTTTTTAAATGAATTTTGTGTCATCTGAATATTTGAAGACCCACCTCATTTCCACTTATCCGTGTCCTCCAAAAAATAGTTCAAAATAAAACAAACATCTTTATTATCAAAGGGGACAGCAAAGTAGTTACATTTCCTTTAGTTGGGTAGTTGCGAGGGTCTTTGTAGACTGATCAACCTTGGTGCTTTTTCTCCCACCTTCTCACCCCACTCCAGTTATCACATAAGACAGCTAGAAACATGAATCAAGAACAGCAGAATATAGGAACAAAGACCTTTAGAGATGAAATATAAGAGCAAATAACTGCATTGAAAGAACGAAACCATACAAAGTAGAATCTGAACTTGGTTATCCTTTTGATCTTGCTTAACTATGTGGCCTCATAGAGTGCTTGAGGAGAGATTGAGGATTCTTTCCTCTTGGGCTATTTCAACAGGGATTGCCTTACTAATCACTTCTTGTTAGTCACCTGTAGTTACCAGGGAACACAGGTTTTCACTTGCGTGACAGAAGCAAATAGAGGTAGTGAGATTAAAGACGAGAGAAACCACTTGTCTTTTGCTACAAAAAATTATTTAGTAGTATATCCTGAGAAGATTTTGTTCCAGATTTTTTCTTAGAAGTGCAAAACTATGAAGTACAGTATAGAGAAATGAAGGTTGAACCTAAATAAAGGGTTTTTCTTTAGTGGCTTGATCATATATCAAGTTGCTGGGCTTGTTTGTTGGTTTGTTTTGATTGGTTTGGTTAGGTTTATTATTGTTGTTTGTTATTAGGATACAGCTTTTAGAGAAGTTGTTTGCATGTCACTCTATGATCTTGGGGTATTACAAATATTCGCTATTGTATGTTGTCTTATTGCTCTATGAAATATGTATAAATTAAGTTTGTTTTGTTTTTGTAAATTACATTTGTAAGTGATTGAGAATATAACATTTTAAATTAAACTATTTGGATATTTTCCTCAGGTCTTAAAGAAAGTGCAGAAGAGATGGTCAAAAACAAATTGGAAGGAAAGGATAAACTAACCCCTTGGGAACAATTTTTGGAGAAGAAGAAAGAGAAAAAAAGACTGAAAAAGAAACAGAAGGTATCAGGGATAATTATGACCAAATATTTATTGAATACTAGCCATGTATCAGAAGGTACCAGGTGGTTGGCATCTGTTATCACAAAATATAACCACTCACTGGAGTAGGCCTTGTTATCATCCCAATTTTAAGAAAGAGGAAAGTGAGAATCCAATAGTTTAAGTGTTTTCAGCAAGGCCACAAAATGGAGTACAAAGCCTGGCAAGAGCACCTAGCCACCTTAACCACTCTGCTGTAATATTTTACATACTACCTAAATAAAGTAAATGGTTTAATTGATATCTAGATGTAAAACAGTATGATTCCATTCTGTTTTTGAGAGAGATACATACAGACTTTTTTCCTTGAGAATATATGCATATAGAAGTTTTTAACATGAAAGAAATTATGCCATACATTTCTACTTTTCAACCTGTATTTTTCACTTTTTAATATTATCATATGGCTCTTTCAATATCTTATTGTCATGAAATCCCTTTATCAAGAATATTTCCTCATGCTAATATGGTATCTATAGAAAACATGATTTTACTTCCATCATTCAGGGGTTAGCATCTTTTCCAGAGTTAGTGTCCTCAGTAATAGCAGAGATCACTATGGTTTTTGCCACTAAAAATACTCTGCCTCGTCACTGAAATGCAGCATTCTGGCAATAGTGTCATTGCCTTACCATGTTATTACTGATAATCACAAAATTTTACAATTTGAGGAATCTTAAATGATTAGTTCCAGTTCAACCCTGTTGTTTTATAATTATAGAAAATTAGGTGATTTATCTGAGGTAACACTGTTTGCCAGTGGCTAAGGTGAGACTAGAATCCCCATGATCTCTCAGTTCAGCATTTTTTCTACTATACTGTATTATTGCTCTGTATACTGTGTAAGCTTGTAGTGCTTTTGGTACAGCTGTGACTTTCAGTGCTATAAAGGTAGACAGGCTGCGAAGTTGAATGATGCAATGTAATAATTTTTGTGCTTCTGTCATAGAGTTTGTGGAAAAGGATAGGAAAATGGAGACATGGGATAAGAGCCTTGTCCCTATTGACATACTACCTCTATTCTTCCCTAAAACTTGCTTTAAAATTAAGTAGGCAATAAAATGTCTTTTAAATGGAATAACTCCACAAGTGTTTAACCTATTAGTTTATTGGAAAATTTTCAAGTGGGTCTTTATGGGGTCAGTAGTCACTCTGAGACTTTTAGCAGCTGTTCTGTCTGATTTTCATTTGCTAGGAGCTTTGAGTTTATCTTGTGCTTTTCTTTTTCCCTTCACTGAGCTAAATCTGAACTCATTTTATCAACAACATTCAAAATACATTTGTTAAGTGTCCAGAGTGTTCTGCACTCAGTGTTCTGTACTGGACTTGATGACTCCAGCAGATCCCTTGCAACTCCACAGGTTCTCTGCATATAGAAAAGTTTCAAGAATTTTTTTTATGTTAAAAATATTTTTGCCCCCTTTTCCATCAGTGACTTCAATTTTGATATTAAAAAACTATTACTGGGGCTGGCCAGTTAGCTGAGTTGGTTAGAGCATGGTGTTGGTAACACCAAGGTCAAGGGTTCAGATCCCTGTACAGGCCAGCCATGGGGGGGGGAAATTATTATTGGAGAAATGAATCCAAGTATATGTGCCATGGTATTTAGTATTTTGATCTAACTTTCATTTAGATCTATAAGCAGTTAAATGTTTGAGTAAATATGTAGTTAATAATCTCAAAAACTCATGTTACTACTGAATCCATTATAATAGTTTGGTGAAGAAATTCTTAAAGCTCCTTGTTCTTAAAAGGATGTTAATATCAAAATGAATATTCTTTAGAGCTTAGTGGGTCTTCTTGTATGAAGGATGATGGTTAGCAATAATGCATTCTAAACATTTTTGTTAAAATGGCTTAGAGATGTTTTAGATTCCTGGGGATAAATTCAATCTGGTTAGTCTGATCTTAGTTCATATATGTTCTCTTTATTTTATAAGCTTGATTGCTTAATTTAAATATACTAATTTAGTAGATAGCCTATTCAAATTTGATTAGGGAAAATTTAACCAGCAGATTTGCTTAAAAATAGCCCAGCAGTTTTCAGGGGTAGATTACACATAAAACAAGATAATTATTGAAATTGGGTGATGAAAACAGGGGGTTTATTACACTATCCTTAACTACTTTTGTACATATTTTTAAATTTCATAATAAAAAATTTTTTCAATTAATCAGCAAATGAATTGTTTACTCTTAAATAAGTTTAAGAGGTAACCCACAGTGCAGTACTTGACGCTATTGATAGTCACTGACATTTCTCAGTTTTATGAGAGATATGGTTATCTCTTCATTGATCATCCATCTAAAGGCATTCTCCTCCTTTGAATGTCTGTTTCACTTTATTTGTGTGTCTTCCAGTATGTCCTATCTTGAATTATTATTAATTATATATATATGTATCTGTTTACGTGTCTAATTTCCTTTAATAGATTGGAAATTTTTTGAGGGCAGAAATCATGTATCCAATAATTTTCATTTCTCCCAAAAGCCCTACATAGTTTCCTGCATTTGTTAAGTATTCCATAATTATTTGTTGAACAAACAAAATAATGACTTAAGTGGGAGTTTTTTATAAACTGCTTTATTTTAAAAATTGATTTAGTTTTTAGATTGAACTACTTAATTTAAAAGAAATAGGTGATTTATCTAAGGTAACACAGTTTTTTCACATGCATATATATTGTAGTCCTTATAATAATGAAACTGTATGTATTTTTACGTTCAACTTTAAGGCTATTGCTGAAGAGGCCAGTGAAGATGAACTTCCCTCTGATGTTGATTTGAATGACCCATACTTTGCTGAAGAAGTTAAAAAAATAGGTAAGCCAGCCCATATTTATAGTTTTCAGTTGAAATCTAAAGAAAAAGGTGAGATAGGTGGAAACAATATAAATTAATCATCCTTTTAAAATTACTTGAATTTGTGTAGCTCCCTTAGTGGCTTATAAGCAAGTCTGTCCTCTGAGGTTCAACCATTGGTCATATTGGGAAGGGTCGGCATGTCCCCTGTACATACAAGGAATAATATTTTTATAGGAGGCTTTTGGTAACATGGTTAACTAGGTATTCCTTTCTGGGAAATATCTTTAGAACCAGTCAGATTGACTCTATAAAGGGAAGAAAGGAAATAGAATAATCATCATCTTGTGTGCTTTTGCTGATTTTTTATAACGCAGTTCAGTCTAGGTCTCTCTGCAAAGACAATGAAGAACTAGAGTATGAAATGAATTTGTTTATGTGTTTACATTGATGTGTATATAATGTTTTAAAATATATACATGGAATTGTAGTATAAATGCTTTTTCTGCTGAAATGTACAAAAGCATCTGTGTTTCATTTTTCCTTTTTCATTTATGTTAATATAGCTAAAAGCCAGCTTTCCTCTTACCTCCCTTTCTCCTTTGAGTCCCCAAACTATCTGGTATCTAATTTTCTATATTCAGGGAGCCCTGTTTCTATTGTGTATACACCACTCATTATTTCCTGAATGCTTCCATTCTTACGTTTTTGGTGTGTGTAAATGTGTTTGGTAAGGTCCAGGCCATACTTGGACAAGCCAGTACAGAGAGAACTATGAGCACTTTCCAGTTGTTCTCATGCATTTTGCCTTCCCCTAATCTTTATACCACACACATGAACCCCAAAAGGCTTGCTCCTGGAGCAACTCCAAGCTGGCATTGTAAAGAGAAGGATTTTATGAAGTTTTTCTGCTTCTTGTCCCTCGTGACTAGTGGGCCAGAATAGCCCTCAACAGGAAAGCTAAAATTGCTCAAAATTATTTTCTGGTTGTTATAGCCTTTTAGTACTGACATTTTATTGATTAAAGGAGGTCAAGATGAATAAAGTCTGTTATAGGATATGAGATTCTTGGGAACTAGACAGGGAAATGAAAACTTAGCATATTCTGCTTTTTATCATACCTGAGCAGTCATTTCTAGACGATGGTGGGTTTCAGCCTTTATCCTCTGGTTTCAGGAAACCAAGTTTATAATGGAGAAATGTGAAGCATTATAGTTTCCTTGTTCTCTATCCAAAGTGCTTCATTTGGCATGTGAGTTCTGGTCAGATTGCAGAACTCAGGGTAGGATTCAAAGAGTAAGTTAAATGGTTTGATGGCTTGGGCTAGCCAGTTTCTTGGAATCAGCACATATTTTTTTTTTTTCATTAAATTTTTATTTTGTCAATATACAATGTATATGATTATTATGGCCCATCACCGACACCTCCCTCCCTCCTCCCTCTCTCCCCTCCCCCCCAAGAATGTCCTTTCCGTTTGCTTGTTGTAACAACTTCAGAAAGGTATAGTTGTTATATCTTCTTCCCCCACCCCGGTATTTTTTTTGTGTGTGTATGTGGGTGAATTAATTTATTTTTTAGCTCCCACCAATGAGTGAG